CTGAGTGATGCTTGGTGCTGAGGTCCTGGTCAGCCCTAGGACCAGTGCTTCCAGGCCTCCCTTGGAGGACCAATAAGGACGGAAAAGGTACCAGAGCAAATTGGTCCACTTGTCCCCCTCCTGCTCTACACATTCTGGATGACCTGGGAAATGATCCCATGCCTCTGGACTCCAGTTAGCAAGTGGAGAAAGTCACATGCCTTGTGGGGCTGTGTGTGAAGTGAGTGTGTGCAAGTGCACAGCTCAGTGCCTGGTACGTGGGTGCTCGGCCAGTGGCTGCTCATCACTGTTGTTAAAACAGGCAAGAGAAGTGCTTGGGGAAGGACCACTTTCCAAGGAGAGGGGACCAAACGCACCACCTGAACTGGGGGAACGCTAAAGTGGTGTCTTACTGAGCAACACTTGTCCTTTGAGATTTGGGGGTGTCTTGAATTTCCTAAATGTCCACTGAGAAGCATCAAACATCTGTGAACCTAATCTACATTTTTTGGAATTTACATTCCAGCTAACTTTCATTTTCAGATGACTTGATTGTCTGGAAACACATCATCTGGTCTCTAAACTGTCTCTAACCCCAGATCAGGGACTGAGCACATTTTCTTAGCCTCGAAGGACCTGTCATGCCAAGGCGTTGGCCTTGGTCTTTGAGACATATCTCTGGCATATTTGCCGCTATGCTCTAGGGTTTATAAATCATGGTTTCTTTTTAGATGCAGTTTTAAAAAAAAATGAATTGAGAATCCTGGTCTTTCCATCTTTCTCTGTTATTTAAAAATATAAAATCTGGTAGAGTTAAAAACGTGTTCGGGCTTCTCTCTTGGAAAATTTGCTTTTGAGATGAGAATCAATCAATGGGTTTATTTCTATTCAGTAAACTAGAATAGGTAGAATGGGCTCGATGTAGGCCTGAGAGCTTCCCTTCAGGTAGCTGAAGTGAACTTTATGAAACACCTTGCAGGGCCTCTGGCCTTCTGAGGTCAGTCGGGCCCCTTTCTTCCCCCAGCAAACGTAGTGAAACTTGACAAGCGAGAGAATTCATAGAGGACACATATGAGCCAAACGTTCGGTTTTTTGGTTTTTTTTCTTCCTGGGGAGGCCCCCCCACCTGCCCGCTGCCTGAAACGCACTCTCTGTGGCCACAGCTGCCGTGAGCTCTTCCGGACGGGGCGGCTGGACCCGGGGACTCCCTGGCTTGTCTCAGTGTCACCCTTCATGATGGAGGGTTTGCAGAAGCCGTGTCCTAACCCAGAGGCGTTTCCGGACTTCTGATTTGGGGGGTGACCTCGGCTAACCTAAAACCCTATGATACTCTTGACACCACCCACCCCCGCGTTGGCTCCCCCCACCGGAGGTTTGAGATGGACCCCTGGCATGTTGTGCGGGTCTGATGCCGGACTGTCATCTTCACCACCCACCACGTGGACTAGGCCGAAGTGCTGAGTGACCGCATGGCAGTGCTGCAGCAGGGGCGACTCCGGTGCTGCAGCACCCTCTCCAGCCTGACACAGGCCCATGGGCAGGGGCTCCGCCTGATGCTCAGCAAGGAGGTGAGACCCCAGGGGTAGTTGCAGGGAGACACGTACCTCCTCGGGGGTCAGAGGAGACAGATCCAGACTGCTCCCCGGTCACAACATTTCCACGTTGGAGTCAGGTCGCTCAGCAAGTGTTTATTCCGAATCCAGCCTGGGCCTTGCCTGCTGTAGGTCTTGAGGAGGTGACAGAACAGGACACAAGGTCCTTGGGGTCTCAGTCCTTGTGGAGGAAATGATGTGCCTACAAAAGGGAGAAACAGATTGTCGACACTGGTTGGTGTGGAGCAAGAATTGGAATTTCAAAATAATTTGCTTAGGGATAGATGTGAAATCAGTTGATGTAAATTTGGTATGTTTGGGTTTACATTCCTTGCTGTTCCCTGACTTTTTTTTTTGGATAGCCTTCTGTTCTGGAGGCTGGCGAACCGAAGGACACAGCTTGTGCCATGTCTCTGATGCAGACCTACATCCCACAGGCATCCCTCTGAGGCAGCAGCTGGGGCGAGCTGAGCTACATGATCCCTGAGGATGCAGACAGAGCCTTCTTCAAAGGGCTTTTCCAGGCCCTGGACCAGAACCTTCACCACCTGTACCTGACGGGCTGTGGGATCTCAGACATCAGCTTAGAAGAGGTACCTTCTGTTGAAAGATGCTCGAGATTTGTGCTTTGCCACTCTTGGCATGATGGAACCCTGTGCATTTTCATTCATTTCCCAGCTCTGACTGGCATTTAATACACCCGACAGGTGACTGTGGTTCTTTAGGGGAAATAGAGTTTTCATATCCGAGAACTTTGGTGTCTTTAATCCAGAATCACTGTCTGTCCAGACAGTTTCAGTAGCGGGAGGCTGCCTGGTCATATTTCCTCACCTGGAGGCGCCTTTCTCTTTCCACTGTGGACCTAGTCCTGCCCAGAAGCCCTGGCCCATGGTGGGCAAAGATGTGCAGAAGGTCACGCAAGGGAGCAATGTGCCCCCCACTCTGCTCCCCTCTCCCTGGGACAGAGCTGGCCGGCACCAGCCCCTCAGTGTGGGTGTGGTTTCTTTGCAGGCATGTCTGGTCTTTGGAGGAGCAGGTCCTGGGACACACAGCTCACTGATGTGTCACAGCCCCAGCTGCTGTGTTCAGGATATAGTTTTAAGAGAAGAGAGGTTTTTAAAGGAATCTTTAAAAAATCACCCGGGGCTTCCCTGGTGGCGCAGTGGTTGAGAGTCCGCCTGCCGATGCAGGGGACACAGGTTCGTGCCTCGGTCCGGGAAGATCCCACATGCTGCGGAGCGGCTGGGCCCATGAGCCATGGCCGCTGGGCCTGCGCGTCCGGAGCCTGTGCTCCGCAGCGGGAGAGGCCACAACAGTGAGAGGCCCGCGTACCGCAAAAAACCAAACCAAAACAAAAACAGAAACAAAAAAGCACCCGGGTGCTTTTGTGTGTGTGTGTGTGTGTGTGTGTGTGTGTGTGTGTGTGTGTGTGTGATCTAGTTCCCCGACCAGGGATCGAACCCCTGCCCCCTGAATTGGAAGTGTGGAGTCTCAACCACTGGACCATGAGGGAAGTCCCCTGGGTGCTTTTTATTTTTTAAAGCTTTATTGTATAATTGATATAAAAAAGCTCCATATACTTAATGTATACAGTTTGATGAGTTTGTGACATCATCACTACAATCAAGGTAGTAAACATTCACAAATCCAAAAATGTCCTTGTGCATCTCCCTCTTTTTTTTTATGTGTGCTAAGAACACATGATGTGAGAGCTGCCCTCTCAGTAAACCCTTTAAGTTGGCTCTGGGCACAGTGTTGCCTGCACAGCTCTGGAATCTAATCATCTTGCTTAACTGAAACTTTATACCCGTTGAAGGACAAATCCCCTATCCCCTCCCACACCTTGGCAGCCACAGTTCTATGCTCTGTTCCTATGAGTTTGACTAGTTTATTCCTCATATAAGTGGAATCAAAAGTATTTATCCTTCTGGGTCCAGCTTATTTCACTTAGTGTAATGTCCTCTGACTTCACCCATATTATCACACGTGATAGGATTTCCCTCCTTTTTATTGCTAAATAATATTCCATTATATATATATATATATATATATATATATATATATATGAGTGTACAAGGGTTCTAACCTTTCCATATTCTTGCCAAAAGTTTCTGCACAGCAAAAGAAACAGCAGAATGAAAAGGCAACCTACAGAATGAAAGAAAATATCTGCAAACCATATATCTGATAGGGGGTTAATATCCAAAATGTATCAGGCACACTTACAACTTAATAACAAAGAAACAAATAACCTGATTTAAAAATGGGCAAAGGACCTGAACAGACATATTTCCAAAGAAGACGTACAGATAGCCAACAGTTACATGAAAAGATGCTCAACATCACTAATATCCGGGAAACAGAATTCAAAACCATGATGGGCAACACCTCACGTGTGTTAGGATGGCTACTTTATATATATATATATATATATATATATATATATACTTATAAAAAACAAGATAACCTGATGTTTATTAAATTGGCAGTTTCTTAGGCCCAATTTCCACAAATGTTGATTCCAAAGACTTAGACATTTACATTTTTAAGCAAGCACCCCAGTTTTCCTTTGATTTAGGTGGTCTGTGGTCACTGCTAAGAAAAACACCCTATAAGAATCTCAAAGTAGTTCAAATTTGATGTGAAACTTCGCAAATCCATCTAATAGAGTGAATCTGGGAAACTGGTGTTTTCTCCTGTAAGACTCTGCTGTGCCTTTTTTCTAAGAAGCCATATTTCCACCCCTCCCCTGCCTTGCAAGGTCTGAGATTGCATTGAAATTCTTATAACTCTATGGTTGTCAGCATCACCTTACCTAAACTTCTTTTTTCTCCCTCAATTTAATCCTCTGTATTTCATTCTTTTTTTTAAACAACTTTATTCAAGTATAATTTACATACTGTAAAATTAACTGACTTTAAATAGATAATTCATTAATATTTAGTAAATGTACTGAGTTGAGCAGCCATCACCATAATGCAGTTTGGTAACTTTTTGTTTGTTTGTTTTTTATTATTATTCTTTTTAAAAATTGGAGTATAGTTGCTTTACAATGTTGTGTTAGTTTCTGCTGTACAGCAAAGTGAATCAGCCACATGTATACATATGCCCCCTCCTTCTTGGACCTCCCTCCCATTCCCCACACATTCTCACCCCTCTAAGTCATCACAGAGCACCAAGCTGAGCCTGTGTTTCATTCTTAATTGCTCCTTCCTGTGATGATGGGAAGTGATTTCGGCAACGATTAATCTGGAGGATCTGCAGCCTCTCATTTGCTTTCTCACACCATCCTGTTTGCACAGCCCATCCTACCCGGGAGGCCATCATTCTCTGCCTCTTCAAAGAGCTGTTGCAGATTCTGTGTGTCCTCTAGGCTTGGCTGTGGCGTTAGACGCAGAGCTGTCTTTGCTTCTTTGTCCCCATTTCCTCAAACTTCAAACACATGCAGGAGAGGTGGAGAGGAGACATGTCTGCTGCCAGTTACACACACCAAAGAAGGCTTGTGTGCTGCGTTCGCTAAAATCATCAGAGATCTGACAGCGGGTGCTTTGCAGAAAACCGTCTGCCGGAATGAAAATGGGATTGAAATAGACTTGGGTGGGTTAATGCCTGTGGAAGGTGCCAGAAAGCAGCAGCTTCCGCTGGGGCCTCGGGAAGCGGGGAAAGTGTGTGGAGATGGAGCTCTCGCCAGCGTGCAGATCAGACCTGCCAGAGAAAGTGCCTAAGGTTGGTGATGAATAGTTACAATCCTCACTTCCTGAACTGGAATCACAACTTCTAGTGAAATATTTGATAAAGAATGTGTTTTACTTCTCTTAGGGTAGTCGCTGCCTCAGACTTACCGACAGGACAACTTGGGGAAAACTTTGTGGGCCTGTCGGTCTTCAGGAAGCTGAAGACAGACGTGCCCTCGAGGGCACCCTCCTCCACACTCACCTGCTGGCCAGAGCGGAGGGGTGTTGAGCCAGGCATCCTGAACTGGTACCTCCGTTCCCTCCTCCCTGATGGCATGAGATGCTGTGGGGTGTCTAAGCAGCTCTCTCTGCCTCTCTTAAAACCACAAACTCATCTCTTTGCCTCATCACCTACTTCAGCGTTCTTGTTTACACTGATTGAAATCAGATTGAGATGGACCCCCCGCGGGTGGCTTGAAGACGGCTTTGCATGAGGCCCATCAGTCATGACTGTTATAGCCGAGAGAGGACGTCGGTGGGGGGGGGCGGGGCCTGGGGAAATGCACAGGGGTTGTTTCCCAAGTAGGAAGAATGGCCTTGGGGTGGGGTTGGGGGGAGCCTCAGCTCAGTGAGGTGAGAAACAGACGGGAGTGTATTTTGTTTTGGGTTTTTTTTTTTTTTTTTTTTTTGCAGTACATGGGCCTCTCACTGTTGTGGCCTCTCCTGTTGCAGAGCACAGGCTCTGGACGCACAGGCTCAGTGGCCATGGCTCATGGGCCTAGCGCTCTGCGGCATGTGGGATCCTCCCGGACCGGGGCACGAACCTGTGTGCCCTGCATTGGCAGGAGGACTCTCAACCACTGCGCCACCAGGGAAGCCCTGTATTTTGGGTTTTACGTCATATTAATAAGCAAACCAATGTGTCAAAATTTCTCCTTTCCTTTTACTTTTTCCCCATTTTTTTCGATTTTCTCTTTTTTTTCTCTTTACCTCTCCTTCCCTCCCCTGTCCCCCACTTCCTTCCTTTCTTAATAGGAGGATATTTGATTTTGTTAGTTTTTCTTCTTTAAATGGTATGAATTATTTTTCATAATTCAGTCATAATTTGCATAAATATCACACAATTATAGTCTTTACCAGGACAAAGATTTGGAACCACCCCACCTAAGCCTTTTGTGCTCTGCATGGGGTCACTGGTGGCACGCTGCCTGTGCAGACGTCAGTGTGTCCACATGAGGTTGGGATTCCCGAATCCTGGTGCTGGGACACATTTTCAACATTAATGCCCATCTGCAGGTGTTTACCTGTTTGATTAAAAACCTACCCACCAGGAGCCATCCAGCACTGTTAGTTTTCCATACAGCTTGCTGATTCTGTTTTCTGGATTGGTGAGAACAGATGAAATGATTTAAGCCTTTTCCTGTCTGCTAATGATTTTGGAGTCCCAGATCATGACTGGGGTGCCGTAGAAAATATAGTCATCCCTCAGCATCCGAGGTGGGATTGGTTCCAGGACCCCTGTGAATACCAAAATCCCTGGATGCTCAAGTCCCTTATATAAAATGGTGTGGTATTTACATATAACCTACACACATCCTCCTGTATGTTTTAAATCATCTCTAGATTAGTTATAATACCTGATACAATATATATGCTCAATAAATAGTTACCAGTGTGTGACAAATCCAAGTGTTGCTTTTTGGAACTTTCTAGAGTATTTTTTTTCTTGAATATTTTCTGAAGCAGATACGGAGGGTCAGCCATATCCCTAATACCTGATGTACCGTGTTTCTGACTCAGAACCCATGTCTACTCCCAGGAGATCCTCCCCACGCCAGGCACCCTCCCTACCTGTCAGAGAACACCTTTTACTCCTTGAATTCCTGGCAGTGGCAGCCCCTTGGAGAAGTCTGACCCACTGTTAAATACAGTATACTGTGTTGGTCAATTGTCATGTTTCGTTATGTTTGACTCTATTAGAAGACTAAAAGCTTTGAGAACTTTTTCAAAGAGAAAACCTAAGGAACTAGCATAGCACTTACACATAATGAATACTGTGTTTTGTTCTCCCAAATTAACTCACTTCACAATTTCTCCTGAACTGCGTGTATTTATAAATAAGTGAAAGGTTTGAATTACATTATTTTAAAGATCCACTTCAACTCTAAAATTCTCTTAACTCAGTGAACAAAGAAAGATACTATTTCTATTTCATAAAATTGTGCATCTCCCAAATAAGTATACAGTCTTTACAGGATAATTATTGATTACAAGATGCATAAATATTCATTGTTCAAAAAACAAGAAAACTGAGAAGAAGAAAAAGTAGCATGATCTCACTACACAAATAAATAGAAATCTTTAATAAGTAGGTTGAAAATGTATATAGTACTTTAACTTTAAAAAAAAGATATTTATTTATTTAGTTGCACTGGGTCTTAGTTGTGGCAGGTGGGCTCCTTAGTTGTGGCTCGTGAACTCCTTAGTTGTGGCATGCGAACTCTTAGTTGCAGCATGCATGTGGGATCTAGTTCCCTGACCAGGGATGGAAGCCAGGCCCCCTGCATTGGGAGCACGAAGTCTTATCCACTGTGCCACCAGGGAAGTACCACTTTAACTTTTTGAATCTAAAAAATCACTTGGTCAAATTCAAATAGTGTATAGAGTGTAGAAATTATTTCATAAAAGACAACAACTTTTCACTAAAGTATATACACCAAAACAGTAATAATTTTTTTAGTTTAATATTAGTATTGTTAGTAAATATTTATTCTATATGTGTTATTTTGTAACACATTTTTCTCCATGGAGTGGTTGTATTTTAAATTGTTCAGTTAATCCCCTGTGTCAGACAACTTCTTGCTACTATTCTCTATAAGATGTAACAAACCACCTTGTTTGCTGTATTTGATGAATTTCTATTGCTTTTAGACTAATCCAACTCTTGGATTGGAATTAAGCTGATCAAAGGTGGTTCATATTTGCTTCCCCCAGAAAGACTGAACAGGTCTTTTCTCCCAGCAGCACTGTTAAGAAGGCCCATTTCCTAAAACACTCAGTAATAGTAGGGATGGACATTGTTTTTAATCCTTACCATATTGATAATCTGAAAATTTATTTTCCAGATAAATTTTCTTACATAAAATATCTGATTTTGAAATAAACATATATTAGTTATTTTGTATTTTTTTTTTAAAGGAACTGCATATTCAGGCATGCTGTTTTGCCCAGTTTTCTTTTGGAGTATTCATTTTCAAAAATTGACTTGAAGGCATTCCATTTATAATGCTTTGTTTTAAAATCTTCACGAATATTTGGGTGAACTTGGCAACATGGAGATCACATTCTGGGCTGGATGCTGAGTGTTTAAGTAATCTTTTAACAATTGAAGCCACCTGACCAAAAAAAAAAGTCTTTGGACATCTTCCCTAAGCAATTTTATGGTCAGTGTAAATGGGAGTGAATAATTCTGGATGTAACTGGAGTCCTTGAATATAATTGCACTCATAAGTCAAATGAGATAATTCATAACAATTTGGTCCAGTATTTCAGTTTTGTCTGTTAAATTATTCATGTGAATACTTTCATGAGTTTAGCTGTGAATATTTGATTGGTGGTTGGATAAATGACATCAACTATCTTAGCTCTTTATTTTTCCAATTTGTGTCTAATTAACATATGGGAAGGTGGGCAAAATTTGTTTTTCTTAACATAAGAAACACCTTTACCTACGGACTTACTGAGGCTGTCTGATGAGCATTTACTAGGACTGGTAGTTTCATAAGTGTGGTAATAATAATCCTCATTACCTCAAGGGAAAATACTACAAGTCTCTATTTTACAACTGGGGGAAATGGCATCCAGAGAGGTTACGTAAGCTTCCAGAAGTCACACAGCATGTTGGTGGCTGAGACTGGATTCAAATCCTGGTTTACGTGGATTGAAAGATGGAGCCGTCCCCACGCTACAGTGACGCTTGTGGTGGTCCCCTCCGGAGCACGGCCAGAGGGCACAGGGACGTAGTCTGACCCGGGCCCAGCTCCTCCATCACCAGGCAAATCCACCACCAAGAGGGTCACGTGCTTTTTCCATTTTGTAGCGCCTGCTGTGCAGACAAAACCCTCTGTGACTTGAACAGGGGTTTGCAGTCACGGCCTGCAGTGCATGTATGTGTGAAGGCGCACAGTGTGGCACAGTGTGGCAGCAGCTGCAGTGGCCAGATGTGCAGTCGAAGGATGCTGACCCGAGGGGTGTGGCTTCCGGTGGGCAGTGACCAGAGGTGTGGTGGAGGCACAAGCCCCCAGGCCCAACGGTGACTTTCAGGTCCTCTTGAATGGAAACAGTGAGGCGTCTGTCTTGGCGGAGAAACAGCTCCTGAGCCAGAGGCCGTGAGGACAGCAAGCAATCATCTCAGCAGTCATTTTGGAATCTAGGGGTTTGGCAACCAACATCTCAGTTATTTCTGCTTGAGTTAGATAATTCACGTAATTACCCTAATAGGTCTGCAAACATAATGCCATGCATCAGTATTATCCGACATTAGAATCTCCTAAAATGATCAGGAAGGGGGTATTTTGTATTCTTGTCTACGTTTATATGATGAAGGATCAAATTTAGCTTAATATACCTTTTCTAGCACTAGAGTCTATCTGCTGATTTAATAATGCTTTATGAGAGTTATATATGAATCACCATTAGTTGTGCATTAAATCAGCAATTTTTTTTTTTTTTTTTTTTTGCAGTATGCGGGCCTCTCTCTGTTGTGGCCTCTCCCATTGCAGAGCACAGGCTCCGGATGCGCAGGCTCAGCGGCCATGGCTCACGGGCCCAGCCGCTCCGCGGCATGTGGGATCTTCCCGGACCGGGGCACGAACCTGTGTCCCCTGCATGAGCAGGCAGACTTTCAACCACTGCGCCACCAGGGAAGCCCGGTTTCGTATTTCTTGTGCGAGAATTCAGGCTCATGTCGCAGGCTTTGTTCTAACCCGTGAGAATAAACACAAGCCCCTTCTCCCCATCCTTTTGCGTCTACCTGCCCCCCTTCAAAGCAGGAGTGGAGCGGGGGCCACTGTGACTTCTGCCCTTGTGTTTCACGTCTCGAGATGCCCCGTGTGTGTATTTGCGGTGTGTCCTTACTTAGGGTAGAGTGGGAGCCGCTGGTGCTCCTGGGCTGAAGGATCAGGGAAGGGACCTGCACGACGGGGGGCGTGTTGGGGATGCCACGTGGGCCCCGGGCACTGACCTGCCATATCTTCCCGTCCCCTCAGATGGCACGCCTGATGGGCCCCCCTGGTGCTGGGTGGCCCCCTGCTCTGGGTACAGACGGCC